GATATTTTTCTTTTTTACTAGTATATGTTTGCTATACATAATACAGTTATTGTGTGTATGTACCTACTCCCCAAGATGACTGTAAGTTGCATGTGCTGCAAACATGTACTAATAAAATTTTTAAAAGATTGTGCAGAATTGGTAGCTACAGATATTTTATCTTATTTTTCATAATTTTTGCCTGTATGAAGTGACATAAACAGATTTTAGACATAGCAGAATAAAAATTTTGAAGCAAGATTTTGGTCAAAAGGATTTTTTAAAAAGGGAAAGATGTGTCAGTTTGACCTAAAATAAGAGGGTTTTTTGTAGAAGTATATTGACACACAAAATGAATTATCACAGGTAATGAGTATTACTCTCTGGATTATCAGTAGCAATAGGGGTAAAATATTAATTTTCCACTTCAGCTTCTAAGCATTAATTTTTATTTCACGAATATTTTGCAAAAAATGCTGAGAAAACTTAAGTTTCTAAAAGATGCTCACTTTGTTTCTTTCCTGGGGCTGTAAGCCCGGGAAGCTGGGACCCGGTGGTCTTCCCTCCCCTGGGGAAAGTTGATGGAGTTTTTTCGGCCGAGGACTCCGCGCAGAAACTCCCTCCGTCCCCCTGTCCCCCTCCATGCAGGAGACCCAAGTGAGGCTGAGGCTGGGGGCGAATCACCGCAGAACTGCGTGTCGACGACGCACGCTGAGTGGACAGTGAGGAAGCCCGTCAGCTTGTTAGCCCCGCTGAACCCGCCCCGTAGCTCCGGGCAACCTTTAACCTTTAGCCGCATCGGGCGCCAGTCACTCAGATAGCTTCTTGTTAGTAGGTGTAGCGGCAGTGACTGCCACTGCCGGCGAAGCAGTCTGAGCCCTACGATGAGGCCGGGGACTGGAGCCGAGCGTGGAGGCCTCATGGTGAGTGAAATGGAGAGCCAACCTTCCCCGCGGGGTCCCGGGGACGGGGAGCAGAGATTGTCCGGCTCAAGCCTCTGCTCCAGCTCTTGGGTCTCTGCTGACGGCTTCCCGAGGAGACGGCCCTCGGTAAGGGATCTGTGGGCCCGGAGAAAGCGGCACAATGAAAAACGGAGCCAGAGACAGGAAAGAACTGTGCTGGTAATTTATTACTATGCTATTCTTTTTTAGAATGTACTCCTATTTGCAAAAAAAATTTACTGTAAAATAGTTTTTATGTTACCTGTACCAGCAGCAGCTCTCATATTTCTTGATATATCAAAGATCATGTGTAATGATTGTCTTATACCATCAAGGTTTGTGTAAATACACTGATACTTGTAGAACAATGAAATCATGTGGTATATTTATCAGAAAGTAACTTCCATCATTAAGTGCAGCATGACTGTAACTTAATATAATAGAAAATTACCCTTTTCTCATAATGAAATAAAGCTTAGAGATATAGCTACATAGGACTAGATATAGCTAGCTTAAAGGACTTGGGGAAGAGGATAGTAATAATGGTCTTGTATCCTTGATATATTAAATAAGATGGCTTAGATGAATTTTTAGTGTAAGTACTATATTGAAGTCTTCAACTATGTGACTTGAAATGCTACAATTTATATGTATCCCCAGTTATGTTTAGAACTTCTTAAAAATAAAATAACTGGTTCGTTTTTATAGCTCTGTTTCTGAGCTTTTGTATTATGTATTCTTTATTTAAAAGAATCATAATTCTGCCCCCATGTTTATATAGACTTTGAGAAATTCATGTACCCTATTAAATCAGACCCTCCTGACTAAAATGTAGGTTGGCAGGGTGGATGTACTACTAACAAGGCCCAGAGAGTTAAGTGAATTGTACAGACTTATAGAACCAGCACTAAATATGATATTTGATGTGAGATTGACTTATTGCATGTATTGATTTTTTTTTTAGTACCAGGGATCGAACTCAGGACCTTGTGCTTGCGAGGCAGGCGGTGGCACCACTGAGCTAAATCCCTAGGCTGGTATTGATTTCTTTTGACAGTGATATTATACTGTTTGCTAGATGCCTTTTAAAGGAGAGAAATGCCTGAGAGATAAATAAGGAATAAGTGAGAAAATAGCCAAGGTAGAAATTGCTTTCATTATATGAGTTGAAGAAGAGCAATGATAGTTAAGATTAAGTTGGCCCTTCATATCTGCAGGTTCTCAGTCCATGAACTCAAGCAACCATCTGTCAAAATTATTTAATAAAACAGGTTGCATCTGTAAGAAACATGTTTTTATCACATTTGAAACCATACAATATAGTACCTATTTACATTGTGTTAGGTACTATTAGTAATCTAGAGATAATTTAAAATTACCTAAGGGTATGCATAGGTTCTATGAAAATACTGCGCTGTTTTATAAGAGACTTGAACATTTGTGGATTTTTGCTGTCCTCTGGGGTCCTGGAACCAATCCCCCATGAATACTAAGGGATAACTATCCCTATCACCTTGTTTATTGAGCTTTGTTCTGAGTGCTTTATATATGTACTATCCCATTTGATTCACTATAATAACACTGTCAGATGGGTACTATTTTTGCCATTGATGAGAAAACTGAGGTCCAGAGAGGTCAAAGTCAAATTATTTATTGAGCTTTGTTCTGAGTGCTTTATATACGTACTATCCCATTTGATTCATTATAATAACATTGTCAGATGGGTACTGTTTTTGCCATTGATGAGAAACCTGAGGTTCAGAGAGGTCAAAGTCAAATTAGCCCAAGATTGCATACCTGGTAAGTGGTTAAGTTGACAGTCTGACCCAAGAGTGCACTTAATTGTTATGTTGGGCTGCTTCTCTATATGGCAATAAAGGATTATGCAATTAATTAACTTCCTCAGATCTCAGAAGCAATACAGTCTTCCCTTATCTAAGGAAAATATGTTCCAACAGTCCCAGTGGGTTCCTGAATCCTGTATATACCTTATTTCTTCTAAATGTCCTGCCATATTGCTCCATAATGGCAGGTGTCTCATAAAATAGTAAGGTTCTATTCCACACAAGGACATTATGTGCAGATACTGTCTAGCTTTTATCTAGATGTGTCTTATCAAAAATTGAATTTATATTACCCTAGATAAAGAGGCAAAAAGATTAAATGATTTTCCTACTTTGGGGTGAATATTCCATTTACAGATTCAGTTTTTGAGCTTAATCACAATTTTTTGCACTTATTTTAGATTTACTCAAAGTAGCTTAGTGGTGTGTAAGAAAGTTGTCTTTTAAATACTTAACAACCTTTCTTAGGCTGTATCTTGTAGAATTTGATGTGAGCATATTTAAAAGGAGCCAAATAAAGAGGCAAGAATGAAGCACTCAGGTTATCAACTTGAAACTACATGCTTTCACCAACAGTGGTTTATAAAAAAATCATCCAAATTTAAGTCAGTATCTTTTCAGGTGATTCTCTATAAAGCTAGACAAAAGATAGGTCAGGTTGTGAATGATTTCTTTCAAGGAGGAAATACTTTAGTAAATAAGAGAAATTGTGAAAACCTTCATGTTTTCTTTTCATATCATAGTAAAATTTGATGAAGTTTATGTTTTGTACAACTTTACTGCCATAGCATTGATGCTGCTTTTACTTCTGTTCCTTTTATTTTTTATTTTAAAACTATGTAGAGTTTAAGTGAAACATAGTCATGAATGTCTAACTTTCTGTAATGCTAGTGACTGAACTAGTTATATGGCACCCCCTAGGTTTTGCTCATTCGTTTTCCTCACACTTATGAGTCTTCTGAAAAAATCTTGATAATTGGCTTGATGACTAGGAAATAGAAATATACATAGAAATTGTTTTGTATAGTGTATGTACAAATGATTCACCTCTAGTTCTATAGCACTTTACATATTTGCCAAAGTAGTTTAATGGAAATTTATAAAGCAGGATGTGTTTTGAGTTTTATAGTATGCTTCACATTAAGCTGTAAACTACCACTGTGTAGCCTTATAAGTGCTGTTGTTTATAAAATTAATAAATCAGACACAAGCACAAATACCACATGGATTCTCACATAAAAGATGAATAATATGAAATTGGGTGATAGATCCTTTATAAATGGGACACATAGCTAGAGATAAGGGAAGGAAGGGGCTAGAAAACAAAAGATGTATTATGTACATGTACCAGCCCCCTGTAATGTACTAATAAACCTAAATTTAAAAAAAGAATACTTCCCTGTAATAATTCTGAACCATTATGCCATTTTAGTTGAATTTTAATCTGTTATTAGTGCTGAGGCACTATTGTTATGTGTCCCTAAGAATGAGGAGGAAACCTAAATAGAAAGTTTGACTCTACAGGGTATATTGAAATATCTAAAAGCTCTATACTCTTCATGTGAAGTAAGAAGGTATGCCTACCAAGCAAAAAGGGACAACAGAGTAACTTGAACATCAACTTTGGTTATTGGAAAGAGGGAAGGACAAATCACTTAGAGGATTTAAACCACAAACCAGCTCCTCTCATGAGCTTATAGCCTAGATTCCATTACTACTGTGGTGTTAATATAAAAAGGAATAGGTAACTTTAAAGATTTTAACAGTGTAAAATTGTTGGTGTTGTCAGGCGACTGGTATAAGTAAGCCCAAGTTGTCTGAAAGAATTCCACTTCAAAGACAAAGACTGTAAAATGTAACCCCATGTTTTGTGTATCCTAGAGCAAATACAAGGAAATTATTACAGTAGTTCCACAAAGTAGATTTTTCAGGCTTTGGGAAACTACACTTTCTGTGATGCTCAAACCTCTACAGGCAGTCTAAATTTGTCATTTTGTACAATTTTTATACGAGATAGAGTATTTTGCATATTGATGTTTTTGTTTCCTGGTTTCATGTTCATAACATCTCAGTTTTGATTAAACGTTGTTATTAATGACCTATTTACTTTTAGAATATTTGGTGGTGCATATTTTAAGAATTTCGTACATAAGTTTGCCACATAAAACAAGCTTAATAAGTCTCCACCTTCCAAAATTTATAGGGATTACTGAGGGAGAGTATAGCTTTTCACTTGCTGTTAACTCATTGTATAACCAATACCATGAATTCCACTGTAGAGGAAAATTTTTAAGATGTTTTAAAGTTTGAGCTGTGGGAAAGACAACGAAAGAGACAACTTTCTCAAAGTCTGCATGTTCAATCATTTAATGTCTCATTGGCCTGGTTTGATAAACTTGTTATATGTAGGGGTTTTGTGGCTGATTTTTTAAATGAGATTTGATCTGTTATAAAGTGAGAAAATTTCCACTAGAACTTAGGTTCTCTTGCTCAGAGTACTGGTAGCATGTTGCATCATGGAGGTTGTTTTGTTTTGTTTTGTTTTTGTTTTACCCTGCTGTTTAATATGCCTTTTCATTCTTCAGAGAAAAGTTACTTTTTTTTTCTCTTAGGTTTTAAAACTTTCATTTCTGAAATTAACTTAGAATTCTTTAGGATGTAGTACTTTGGATTTTAAATGTAAGCCATTGTGAAACAGTTGGTTTCTGTTGTCCACCATGCTTCTGTATTGCTTTCCCCATATAACAAGTCCAGATTCGATTTGCTTTGCCTTAACCTAATGTGAAATTGTGAGGATTTATTTGTTTGGAGGGTACATGGGCCAATAGTGGCTGCAAACCTATGGCATGTGTGGCACAGCCGGCTGTTTGTATCATTGAAAGCTCTAAAAGGTTTGCAAGTACTGGGCTAGGAGCAGGCCTGATTCTTTTTCATTGGGATAAATGTTATTTCTCTAATCTCAGTCTTGTTATGGAGACTTGTCAGTGCTGAATCCTGTGTGCCCTTTTTTTTTGCGGGGGGGGTCATATATTCCAGGTAGGCCACCACATTCTATTCACAATTCACAGTTTCTATCAAAAAGTTGTTTGATGATGTTTAAACAATTGATTGAGTTTTTTTGTTTTGTTTTGTGTTTTGATGGGGGGGGTGTGCAGCTGGGACAGGAGCTTGCTATGTGCTTCAGGCTGGTCTTGAACTCACTTGCCCAGGCTGGCCTTGAACTTCTAGTGGTTATCCTGCCTCAGCCTCCCAAGTGCTGAGATTACAGGCATGTGTTACAATACCCGGCTTCAATTGATTGTTTTTTAATCCATTAATTTCATGCTAATTCATTTTGCTGAATACATTAGCCTCATTTGGGTTTGTGAATTGACTTTGACAAGTTATTCAGTATGATTGTTTTTGTCAAGCTTTAATTTGTTTCTATTGATCAATGTGCTTTTGCTTTTATGTTCCTATTTCTTGTATTGTTTAATTTGAAATTTGAATAACTGATTGCCTTGTTCCAATACCTTTGGTTATCATAGGTAAATTTGTCCCCTTCTTGGATTCCTTAGATCCTTTTGATATTCCTATTAAAGTCTAAATTGTAATGTGGCATTAAACTAATGTCATTCAACATTGGGTCATATCATTTAGAACCTGAATTAATTTTCATGATTTTAACTCATGTAGAGAAGATCAATTAGTAGAGTTGAATGGTGGTCATTTATAAACTAGATTGAACTCTCAAATACAGTGGTACCTTGGTTCAAGAATGCTTTTGTTTGCAGACTCTACATCTGGTGACAAACATGACGGCAGCCATCTTTTCCCTCACAGAGACATCTTTTCCAAAATCATGGAACAAATTATGTTCATAAACTGAGCTGTCACTGTTATCTTTAAGAATTTATGTATGTGCTGAAAGTTTCCTATACAAGAGAGTGGACAGATGGTTCATTATTAAAACATTTGTTTTCTTATATATTTTTTAAGTCACCTGTTTAGATTTTAAGCACTTTTGATCTAGGATTTTGAAAAGAACCAGTTTATTATATATTTTATTTAATACGGGTACTAAAAATCAAAGTAGAGCAATACTGAAAAACTTTTATTAGATTTTCTTCCTCCAAAAAGGGAAAAAATACTTCATGTTCACTTAAACTGAAGTGAAATTAATATTCTTAAGTTTAGGCTAGAAATAATAGTTGATACTTTTATATTTACTTGTTAAAGGTAATTTTCTCTATACATACACACTATAAAATGAGCATTAAAATAGATCACTGATAGAGTACTTCATTCAACAAGCACTTACTAAGCATACTATGCACACAATGTAGTTTCAGTGGATTTTATTAAGTTATACAGAGTTTAAAGTTATATTAAGTGCTCTGGTCTTATATAGTAATCTGTTTTTACTTCTTTTTTAGATGCCTGGAATGATGTCTTCAGTAATGCCTGGGATGATGATGTCTCATATGTCTCAGGCTTCCATGCAACCTGCCTTACCGGTAATCTTGTGAAAACAACTATTTTCTGTGATGTTTTGATTGATTACTTTTATATATAAAATGATACATATACTTTATAGACAGTCATGTTAGCCTTGTAAGTGGCTCTGGGGAATTGTAATGCAATATGAGAATAACAGTGGACTTTTGGATTTAGTTTGTGTAAGTTGAAATGATAGGTATTTACATTTTCCCCAGTATTAAAGATTAAATGTTTAATGAGTGCTAATTACAAATTGATAAAATGTAATTTAATGCTAGATTTACAATTCAGAAGATTTGATTTGCAGTCCAAATTTCATTGAAACTTCAGCTGAAAATATTTAAACAGACTTTCTGCCACAGTTGGGTAACAATGCATAGTTGATACTATATCAATTACTACAATTTTCAAATTAGTTTAACTTCTTTATTTCCTGATAACCTAGTGGTTTTATTGAACAGGTATCACATACTCTCTTAGGGTGGTAAGTTTGCAATGTTTTATACAAAATTCTTAAGGCGTATATATATATTTTTAAATCCTGATAATCGGAAAGTAACATTTACAATACTATATGTTATGTAAAAATTTCCTGTGGGGTCTGGGGCAGTGCCCTTTAGTTTCTAACGTATTAATATTTCTGTAGTAAAACTTACAGATACTCTGAGGTGGGATAAAGAGTGTAAACAGTTTGATTTCATTCATAATAGGTTTTGCTACAATAATGAGCTTTGTTGCCATGCAAAACTTGGTTTGAAGAGCTTTGTGGGTTTCAGAATTCTAAGTAAAAGTGTATACCTAATGACCATATAACAGACCAAAGTGCTTATAGCAAGCTCAAAGAATGAGAACCACTAAAGCTTTTATAGAGAGTGTTTGAGTCAGTAGTTTAAGGATTATACATGGAAGGAAGGGACTGATTCTCTATGCTTTATTTGTTTGTTTGTTTTGGTACAGGGGATCAAACTCGGGACCTGGCGCTTGTGAGGCAGGCGGTGGAACCACTGAGCTAAATCCCCAGCCCTCTCTGTGCTTTATTAGTAACATAAAAATATAGTTTAGGGGGCCAGGCATTAGCTCAGTAGTTCTGCTGCCTGCCTCTCAAGTGCCAGGTCCGGAGTTCGATCGCTGGTACCAAAAAAAAACAACAAAAAAACCAGTATATGTATAATATATATATATATATATATATATTATACATATACTTTTTTTTTTAGTACTGGGGATCGAACTCGGGTCCTTGCACTTGCACAGCAGGAGGCAACACCACTGAGCTAAATCCCTGGCCCCTATATATATTTTTTTAATGAGGTAGATATTAATAATTTCAATTTTCTTCTTACAGCCAGGGGTAAATAGTATGGATGTGGCAGCAGGTATGTATACTATGTTGGTAGATTTCATTTGGAGAGTTATAGCTATATTATAATGAGAAATAAAAGCAGTGTCTCTTGGACTTTATGATCAGTTCCTCCTGTCTTTTCATTTTTTGGCAGTGGGAAACAGGCATAAGCATTTACAGTTGAATTCTTAAGAAATTACCATAGATTTAGGTCAGAAGTTCTGGACCAAATTTATTGTGCAAACAAGTTTTAATTCCCAGAATGATTTTAAGTTTTATAATTATTGTAAACATGTAAAGTCTAGATTTTACTTAAAGATAGAATTTATGTTGAAATGTTAGATGATCTGAAGTTCAGTATTTTAACACTAGACTTGTCAACATAGTAGGTACTCAAAATATTTGTAGAATAAATGAACTCTTATTCTGTAGTTTTACTCAGCAAACATGGGAGTAGGGCAGCAGCAGCTGCATACAATAGATATGGAGTGTTCTCTATCCTTGGGGTTGTGATCTACATGATAGTCTTAGTTTTTTGGGTTTTTTTTGGTACCGGGGATCAAACTTAGGTCCTTGTGCTTGCGAGGCAGGCAGTGGAACCACTGAGCTAAATCCCCGGCCCAATAGTCATTTTTATGTTACCTCATTGGCCCTTGTAGTATTGGCACTTGTAAGTCCTATCTTCTTTTTTTCCCCTGTTACCAATATCTGTTCACTTTGACTAGTGAGACTTTTATATGTAAAAGTAATGCTTCAGTTATTTATGAATAAGGAGTTTTCCATGTAAATTAAAATTCTAGCTGCTGAACTTTATTCCATGAGTATATCAAAACTTTGGTTTGGGTAGAGGATTTAGTTCAGTGGCACCGTGCCTGCCTCCCAAGCCCAGAGTCCAAAAACAAAAAAACCTTGTTTTGTTTTAAGTGTTACTGGTTGCAACATGTTTAAGATACACATTTGCTTTTCTACAAATTGATCTTTTAAAAATATTTCACAGATTTCATTATTTACATTAAAATGTTCTGAAGTAATACAGTTTCTAAAATCTCTAAGATATCTAGACTTGGGTACTATTACCTAATCCTGGAAAATAACATTAAAGTTTATTTTTAATTACTTTTACAGTTTTGTTTGTACTATTGATATCCATAGTAGCTTTTTTTGAGTGTTCTTTGTTTTATTTTACAATCTTTGTCGTTATGTAGTTTTAGCTCTCCACAGTGTATCATAGCCTGTGAGGTATGGTTATTGCTAATTGTTATGTACAATTTTAAATTAACTAGTTCTAAGGTTAGAGATTATTTTCACTAATACATTTCAAAATACCTTCCGTCTTAAAGAACATTCCGCATTAATACAGAATAACACCATCTAATAGAACTTGCTGCAATGATGGGAATTTTCTGTACAGTGGACTGTCAAATGCAGTAGCAAATAGACACATGTAATGAGTATTTGAAATGTGGCTAAGGCGGTTAAACCAATTTTGCTAAAACGTTTACTTAATCTCAGTTTAAATTTTAATTTAAACAGGAATGTGTTGTGGCTAATGGCTGTTGCTTGTACAGCACAGGTTCAGAACTTGAGATAGTTGAAGTTTCCAGAAATCTAATGCATAGGATTATAGGTCAGAGGCATTATTATGCTTTTGTAATATATATAGCAAAGAAAGAAGAATTAGGTGAGATAGGAACCTATAATAGCAAGAAGAGAAACTAAAGATGTATACTTCTTAAGATGGCTCCAAGTGAGTTCGCAGATTGAAAATGCAAGTTACGAAAATGCTTTGCCCTATAGATGTTCATTTGTGGGAAAGAGAACCAGGAACACAATTCAGATGGAAAAGTTCCACAATATTAGTAAGGATAAGGAGGAAGAAATGATACGAATTAATGTTAAAACTGTTATGAAAGGAGAGCATGATTTATCACTGTGTAAATATTTTATCTTTTTTGTCTTTTAGGTACAGCATCTGGCACAGTAAGTACTGTTTTAACTTTTGTAATAGGTGTATTTCACTCTAACCTATTGACCCTTATTTCTGTTCTAAACATAATCTGCTGAATTAATCTATAGTTTCTAATCCCAAAATTGAATAATTGTTTGGTTTATTTTAAAATTAATTTTGATGGAACTTACAAGATAAATTGTGTTTGTGTGGCTATAACAAAATACTGGGCTGGTTACTTTACAAAGAAAAGAGGTTTCTATAGATCCCAATTTTGGAGACTGAGAAGTCCTAAGATTGGGCCACTTCATCTGTAAACCTCGGGCAAGGGCCACCTGGCTACTTCACAGTGTGGAAGAAAGCATCACATAAGGAGAATACATGCAAGGACAGTATGTGGTGTGTGTGTGGAAGAAATCATATGGTGAGAGAGGAAGAAAGAGGTGAACCCAGGAAAGGTGGAATCGCTTTCTAATAAACTCACTCTTGAGTTCCAATTTAGTTCCATGAGAGTAAGAATGTGCTTCCTAGGAAAAATGCATTCATTCCTCATAGTCACAGTTTACAGGCACTCCTCCCAAACATTGCCACATTGGGGACCCAGCTTAGTGAGGAGAAATCAGACGCAAACCATAGCAATCAAATGTGTCAGTTATGAATTCCCTTCTTTGAATTAGAAGGATTCTTTATAATCCTTTGAATTAGAACAAATGTAGTATATGTAGATACACAATAATTATTAATCATAATTTTCAGTTAAGTATTACATAAGAAAGTATTTTTTTACATAGAAAAAGTTATTTACTCTTGTTTATTACTGTGAATCTGTAGACTTTGGTACTGTCCTTTTGAATCTTTAGGAAATTGGTTCTAGGACCCCAAGTGGATACCAAAATCTTTGAATGCTCAAGTGCCTTATATTAAATGACATAGTATTTGCATATAACAACGCATATCCTCAAATATATTTTAAATCATCTCTAGATTACTTTAATGCCTAATATAGTATAATTGCTATATAAATAGTTGTTTTGCTATATGGATTAGGGAACAATAATTTCAAAATACGTTTCTACATGTGGAGTCCAGACATTTTTTTTTAAGGTAGTAGTAGTCTTGTACCTTTTGCTAATGCTTCTGTATACAGTATTCTTTTAAACATTTTTCTGTTTTCCATATTTTAGGGAAAATAATGTTAAGCTTGGGGCCCCCACTGAAGATGGTTATTTTATTCTTGTTAGTATCAGCCTTGAAGATTTTCATTTTTTGCTATTCCATAAAAAATAACCAAAGGAAGAATTTATATTTACTTGTTTAACCATAACAACAGTACTAAAAAGTAGCTTATTCCACAGTTTTATTTTTTGGTGTTGCTTGTTTTGTTTTGTTTTGTTGTCATTTTTGGGGATTGAACCCAGGGCCTTCCTTATTCATGGTAAGCAACCACTGTTCCTTTGAGTTACACACCCAGCCCAATCCCACAGTTATGGATGAACAAATATAGAAAGCTTTGAATTGACTGCAAATATATTAGTATTTTACATCTTAGGGGAAAACTTTTGAGAACCTTATTTAATGTTTGTTAAAATGTTTATATCTTTTGCTATAAAAGTTAAATGTCCGCCCCTGTATTCTTTCATTAAAGGACCTGCTTTTATCTTTGTAAAAAGATATATATTCCTGTTTTTCCTGATTGTTTAAATAACATAGGTTCACTAGGAGGAAAACAAAGCACATATAAGTTAGAAGACAGTAAAATTTACTCTGAATAAGGGAACCATAACTTATTTTTCCCATTTAAAAGTTTACTTGTCAAAAATCTGTGTGGGCCAAGTGTTGTGGCACACTCCTGAAATCTCAGTACTCTGGAGGCTGAGGCAGGATCTCCACAAGTTCAAGGGTAGCCTAAGTTTACATAGCGAAACCCTGTCTCAAAAGAAAATCTGTGTGGGTCACCTCCCAGATATAATCATTTAGATGATATCATAAAGTATCCTTTGATATAGATATAATTTATTTAACTATTACATTGTTTTGTTACCAGTTCTTTAAATGTTACAGATGCTCTTAATTAGGACTTTTGGATAATTTTCTTGGTCTGTCATTTGTTGATAACACCTTTTCACAGCACTTGTCACGGAAATACTAGTTTCTGAATATCTTGAACTTTTTATAAAGGTTCACCCATCCCTTACATCACTCAGTTTCGTGTGTGTTCTTGCTTTATTTTTTACTATTTAAGCTTTTGATTCGTATGAATTGTCCATAAGATAGCCATTTGTGTTAGTTATCTGTCTCCTTTAATTGAAATTTTTTTTTTCATATATTAGATTCTCATATATTCGGGCATCTAGTTCCAAGTTTTTCTACTTCACTAGCTGTTTCTATTTGTGTATTTCTAATCCAGTGTTATGCTTTCTTCTTATAGGATGCCTTTAGTATTTGTTTAATAAGGCAAGTTTTCATGGTTTTTAAATTGTTTTCTTAGCTATTTTCAGTTAGTAACAAAATCTCTCCTAAATTCTTCTAAGAAAATTAAATACACATACTCAACGAAATTGATTTTTTTAAAACCTAAGATTATATTTATTTGAATTTTGGGAGAATTAACATTTATATACATTTCTGGGGCTGGGGATTTAGTTCAGTGATGCCGCCACATGCCTCGCAAGTGTAAGGTCCCGAGTTCAATCCCCGGTACCATAAAAAAAAAAATCTAAACTGTATCCTTAGAGGCCGGGGATTTAGTTCAGTGGTTCCAGTGCCTGCCTCACAAGCGCAAGGTCCTGAGTTCTGATCCCCGGTACCAAAAACAAAAAACAAGCAAACATTTATATACATTTCTATTAAACCTTCTCAGACTGAAACACTGAATTTGATTGAAAACACTCTGTTGTTTTATTTTCTTTTGATTACAGTGCAAATTTGACTTACACTTCAGATTGTGGTCATTATCGTTGCTCTATCAGGACCCTCTTAACTTTTCTGCTTCATATTTCTACCCACCTACCCTCCCTAGAAGGTCCTCTCTTAGAGTAAATGTGTTATGATGTGTACGTATTGGAAAAAGCATATGAAGTTTTTTGGGTAGTTTTGTTCCTGCTTGTGTTAATAGTATATATTAAGACATTTCTTCGGGGGATATGGTAGTCAGGTCTTCTTTGCATATTTTGTATTAACAGAGGTTTAACTTTTTCTCCTTAAAAATCCTATACATCATTGTATTAGTATATAGAATTGTATAGAATTGGTACTCTTTTGAATCATATTGTGCTTTTTATTTGATCGTTTATATATGTGATATTATGTCTAGTAGATTGGCTGAGCATCCTTCTCATATGCATGTTTAGGATGCCATATTTCCCTGAGAATAAGACTGAATCATATATTAATTTTTGCTTCAAAAGACATGATAGGACTTATTTTCAGGGGATGTCTTATTTTTTCATGTATAACAATCTACATTTATTCATTTACTCATGTACAAAAATCTGCATCTGCATTGAGGCAATACTCTTAAGTGAAATAAATAGGACACACATGAATAAATACCAAATAGTTTCTATGGTGTGAGAAACTGAAAGTGTAAATAAGGACTAAATGTATAATAGGTAATGTGAAATAGGAAGAAAAGGGGCAAAGGGGA